CCTAGTACACATATTGTGCATCCAGATGAAAATTTCATCAAGCGATAGCTCAACGGCAAAAGCTGTGGCTCCACAAAATGAGCGTCACACGCCCGAACAGGGACTTGAACCCTGGACCCTCAGATTAAAAGTCTGATGCTCTACGGACTGAGCTATCCGGGCTCCACAACAGTAATTTACAAGTAGACAAGGTTTGGGTTGTGGTACGCTTTTATGGCCGTTTTTTTTTTTTATACGTTTATGGCTGTCAAAAAGCGTACCGAACCAAACCGTACCGTACCACTTTTTCGATACCTTTTCGAAAGGGTACCAAACGGGAGAAATGGTACCAAAAGGTGGAGCTACATGTGCAGCTGAACGCTGATTGGTTACAGAGATACGTCATGAGCTTGTGGAGCTACACAGAACATAAACAAAGGAACTGCCATGTTTTTTTTTTTAAATACAAAGCCGAGACATTACATGAAAATACTATATGCATATAATAATGGGATGACCCGGCCTCAAACAAACCTTATCGTCGTCTCCACGAACAGACACACAGCCAAGAAGAAAAAACTGCCGTGTCCTGTTGTTGTTTTACGAGCCCGTCTAAAAGTGTGAGCGGTATTCGCTTTCTTTTTGGGTCTATATTTGATATAACGAATGTGTGTGTGATTATTGAAGTGTCCCCGTCATCTGATCCATTCAGAAAAAAAAGGACAAGCGCGAGAGTGAAGCAAGAGTGAAACGCTGAAAAAAAGAGAAGCCCGGCAAAACACAGGAGCAAAATTGTTTTAGCAACCTGAATCATGAACAAACTGCCATGATTAGATTCGCCTTTTGGATTATTATGAACTGGGATTGACAAAATGACTCTAACAGAGCTTACATGTGCTGGTAAGGATTAGAGACCCAGTTGAGAAGTTTGTGCTGACTGTGGGCTATATTGCGTGTGTTTTTGAGCCGTTGACTTGTGTTGATTGTTGATTATAAAATGCATGGCGCTGTGCGCTGCCGAGTGGCACTTCCGGTGCGCGACCTGCTTTACGGTTTTGTTGCATCACCGAAGTTATGCACAGAAATTCATACGCTGATTTGATCCGGTGCATACCGGTTCCAAAGATACTATGGCACCGAGTTTTGGTACCCAACCCTACATAGCGCGCACCTGCCTTGCCCAGGCTTGGGCACTTCTACCTGGGGCAGCGTTTGATGCCTCTAGACCCTGGATCCCTGCCTGCACCAGGGTCATAGCGCACACCTGCCTTGCCTGGGCTCGGGCACTCCTACCTGGGGCAGCGTTTAATGCCTCTGGACCCTGAATCCCCGCCTGCACCAGGGTCATATCGCACACCTGCCTCGCCCGGGCTCTCCTACCTGGGGGAGCGTTTAATGCCTCTGGACCCTGGATCCCCGCCTGCACCAGGGTCATAGTGTGGACCTGCCTTGCCCGGGCTCGGGCACTCCTACCTCGGGCAGTGTTTGATGCCTCTGGACCCTGGATCCCCGCCTGCACCAGGGTCATAGCGCACACCAGCCTTGCCCGGGCTTGGCTCTGGGGGCTGCTAGCCTGCCCTTAGACCCCTGGTTGGTTCAACCGCAAAAACCAAAAATAAACAAAGTCCCTTTTTCTTTGCCTTCGCCGAAATCACGACGGCAGGTCAGAGACAGTTGGCTTCGGGCACGCACCTCCAGGCGCTGGACGTCCCAACAGGTAAGCCAGGAAAGGTGGTCTCTCTTCGGGCATGGCTTAGTGGGTTTGGGCCTGGGTTTAATCAACACCCCCCGGTGAGTGCATCCAAGCGTTTGCCAGCGATCGTTTCAAAGACCGAATGTATTTCTACTGGCCCTTAGTTCGAGAGAAAGACCCCCCCCCCACCCCCCTCAAACTGACTTTGTCGTTCTAGAGACCAACCACCCCCCAAATGAGTGTTTGTTCTGTTCCATACAGCAAAAAAATACATTTCGCATACCAAATCAAATTTTTTACTTTCTTTCTAAAGTTTCTTGTTTACTTCAGTATATCAAGTACATGCCGCTTGTTTGAGTCGCAACATACAAGAGAGATGAGCCAACAAAATAGCCTGAATGCAAATTATTTAATATAGAATATAACTCATAGAACAATTAATAAAAGCAACCAACAAATGTCTAGGGATAATAATGAAGATAAAGAACTTAGGATATAATCACAACAACACGTTACCTACATGATATAAGTAATGCAAAACAATACCTTAAAGTTAAAGAGTCAATGAAATGGCATGATGGTCTTGACATAAAGACTCCTGAGTAGCCACAGCGTCCTGGGGTAGCTAGCACAACAACTTTTATTTACCCATTGATGAGTAATGCAGGCATCCAATCAGGATTTACCTGGGATTTACTTTGGGATTATCAGTGTATTAATATTGTAACACTTAATACCTGTTGCTCTGCCTAAATCATAAAATATTCATCAAGTTTGTATTCTACTCAAAAAAGTAAATGTAGTAAACTAAAAAGAATCTTGAACCTAAAAGTAAAGAAAATTTACTAATAAAAGCTGCAACACAGGACAATTAAATTGGCTTTCTAAGCTTGAGGCCCTGGTATATGCAAACTAACCGTCCTGGAGCTCCACCTTGTTTGATGTGCGGTGTCTTCCCAGTGATTTGTTTCTCATTCAGGAAGTCAGACAGAGAACATCATCCAAAACAACACTAGCTACATGAATACACTGGAGAGTGGAGTACAAATGTATCCGCACCTGTACAATCACTTGCAATGAGATTTTAAGCCGCTGAGATGCTGTTTGCCAGATGTTTATGTGACTGTTCTTCTCTCAGCCGCCAGCATTGTGTTTACGGTAAACGTGAGGAGCGCAACACATTTACAACCCCACCTACTGCAGTGTAGGAGTGTTGGAAAACAGTATATCGTCACTCAGCCTTTTCAAACATTATTCAGACATGTAAAATCCTGTGCACATGAGAAAATGTTTTGCTGCATTCATGTCTTCTGTGCAACTTTTTGTCCATGTGTTTGTTAAACTGCGCCGAATGAGTGAAACTCTGCAGACACTGATCAGATCTGTAGAGTTTCTCTCCAGTGTGAATCCTCTTCTGTTTTCAGATGTGATAACTGATTAAACCTCTTGTCACATTGTGAACACTCCATTGTACACTCCAGTGTGAATCGTCTGGTGCAGTTTCAATTTTTGGAGCTGTAATAATAGTCTTCTCACACTTAAAGCACATATACTCTTTCACACCAGTGTGAATCTTCATGTATTCATTAAAGTTTGCTGATCTGTTGAAACTCTTCCCACACTGAGTGCATATGAATAGTTTCTCCGAAGCTGCGGTCACACTAGAGTTTGAGCATGCAAAATTCTGTTGTTTGGTGCTGCGAAAAGGGGCGGGATTAAACAAGATGTAACAGTCAGTAGATAAAATTACGTATCGATTTTATAAAAGGGTCTAAGTCTCCTCTGTGTGGGTTTATGACTCTTGGTGCCACAAAGTCTGAGCCTGTGTGTCACCACTTATCTAGAGGTAAGCCAGAGATGGTTGCCAAAACTTCAAAAGACATTCCTGCCCCCCTTCCTCCCGAGACACATAGGAACACACACACAAGGCTCCCGATGCTGAAAGGGACTCAGAAATCCTGAATCAGCCCAAAAGTAAATGTTATGTGTTTGTAAACTTTGTATTTCTTTTCTGACTTTTCTAACATGTAAATATCTCTCTCGTGCCCTTTTTAAGACACTATACCAGCTAAGAATGTGGGAATCATGTTGATTTCTTAAAACTGTAGTGTTTCATACCGTTAGGTTTCTCCTGCCATTTTACAACACATGATGCGTTGCACATGATCATAATCTATATGGCTTAAATTATTTAATGCTCTGAGTTTATGTCTCTTAGCATGCTTTAGGGCGGACCCTTATTTTGCATATTAGCGGTCCAGAGACAAAGAAAATCTCCCTCTCAAACTTTGCCAGGAGACCATTGGTCAGTCAGTCGAAAAAGGGGTGTGACATGCCACCACAGTTTAAAACCGAGCCGTGCGCACAACTCTGCACAGAACGATCCGGAAAAACTCTCTAAGAGGCTGCCCCCTTTTGAGGGGGCAAACCGCAATTTTCTTTAGCCGCGTGGCTCGTCCGAGCCCACGTTTTCTTATTTGTTCCAGCAAAGTAAAACTCAGTTTAAAGTTGCGATCGCGTATCCTCCGACCTGCATCGCAAACTGTGCATCTAGAAAGGACACTAAAGGACATCTAACGCATCAGAGAATACTCGCAAAAAGAGAGAAAAACCATCTTTCTAAAGGTAATTATGTTATGCATTAAAGCTGTGCCCCTTATCAAAAAGGTGTTTTCTTTGCAATCTTAATGGTCCTGAATAGTTGTGTGGAACTGAGGTAGATTTGCCATTCTTTTATTCTAAACTCTCTATTTCATCGCTTTTCTGTTTCTTTCTGTTTGTTATAGGTTTTATAGATCCCTATATAGCCTATCTATATTCAGTTTACGTTTGTTCTATGTTTGATGTTATGTTTGTGCGCTTGTTCGTTACATGTCAGACTAGTCAATAAATCCCATTATAATCAAATGGATTGTATTGTTTGCCTCACAGAAAAAGTTACTAAAGCAATTGATTCCTTTGCTACAAGCTGTTATTAAGTTCATCAAACTCATAAATGATTAATCTACTTCACAAGTAGTAATAATTTGCTTTCTAAACAAACAGATCATCACAGAGTCCACTCAGACGAGCAGGCGAGGTCTGGTTATATTTATAACAATACTAATAATAATAATAGGTTGTTTTTGATAATTAATATTCATATTCTAAGTGTCTGCTCGAACAAGCAGGCGGAATCATGTTATATATCTGTTTTGCAAAATTGACAGTAGGTTAAACCGGAATATTAATATTTAATAATAACTTGTTATTCATGATCATTAATATTCATAAACTTAGCTAATTTCGCTACAAAGATGATTATATATTTAAAAAAGTGAGCGATTGGTCCATGTTTTAAATTTCTGTCCAGAGAGGTCATGTTTTGATATTTGATTGGTCTCACACAGTCAAGTGATGCGATTTCGCAGGTAAGACTTCACCAAGATTAAACTTTGTAAGTAACTGAACTACGAAACTTGACGCAAGAACGTTTGAGGTTACAGAAGTAACCCTTTGTTCCCCGAGTAGGGTAACGGAAGTGCTATACAGTGGATTTGATCATGGGGGGGGCTTAACTGTGGCGGAATAAGCATTTGGGATCGCCTAGTGGGGATCACGCATAGCAGCTTACGCTGCCAATTCTTTGCTTCATTGGCCCATTCAATACTCTTTCAGACAAACGGCTTCTGAATCGAATCCTCCCATACGTGGATTTTCCAAGATCAAATCCACTGTACAGTACTGAAGTACCCCAACCGAAGGAGAACTTGTGTTTCCGGTCTGACGCATTTGCATGCGTATGAATGGAAGTCTATGGGGGAAAAAAATCAAGTGTGACCGTGGCTTAAGTGCAAGTGAATGGCTTTTTTCCATTGTGGCTCAACACGTGTTTATTAAGGTGTGCTGATTGGCTGAAACTCTTCCCACACTGAGTGCAAGTGAATGGTTTCTCTCCAGTGTGGATCCTCATGTGTATATTAAGGGATGACAATTGGCTGAAACTCTTCCCACACTGAGTGCAAGTGAATGGTTTCTCTCCAGTGTGGAGCCTCATGTGTAAATTAAGGGATGATGATTGGCTGAAACTCTTTCCACACTGAGTGCATGTAAATGGTTTCTCTCCAGTGTGGATCCTCATGTGTGAATTGAGGTTTGATGAATGGCTGAAACTCTTCCCACACTGAGTGCATGTGAATAGTTTCTCTCCAGTGTGGATCCTCATGTGTAGATTAAAGTGTGATGGTATGCTAAAACTCTTTCCACACTGGTGGCATGTAAATGGTTTCTCTCCACTGTGGATCTTCATGTGTTTATTAAAGTTTGATGATTGGCTAAACCTCTTCCCACACTGAGTGCATGTGAATGGTTTCTCCCCAGTGTGAATCATCATGTGTAGATTAAGGGATGATGATTGGTTGAAACTCCTCCCACACTGAGTGCATGTGAATGGTTTCTCTCCAGTGTGGATCCTCATGTGAATTTTAAGAGTGTTTTGTATTCCAAAACTCTTCCCACACTGAGTGCATGTAAATGGTTTCTCTCCAGTGTGGCTTTTCATGTGATTATTAAGGTTTGATGATTGGTGGTAACTCCTCCCACACTGAGTACATGTGAATGGTTTCTCTCCCGTGTGGATCCTCATGTGAATTTTAAGACTGCTTTGTATTCCAAAACTCTTTCCACACTGAGTGCATGTGAATGGTTTCTCTCCAGTGTGGATCTTCATGTGATTATTAAGGTTTGATGATTGGTTGAAACTCTTCCCACACTGAGTGCAAGTGTATGGTTTCTCTCCAGTGTGGATCTTTATGTGATTATTAAAGTTTGATGAGTGGCTGAAACTATTTCCACACTGAGTGCAGGTGAATGGTTTCTCTCCAGTGTGGATCCTCATGTGAATCTTAAGTTTGCTTTTGCTTGCCAAACTCTTTTCACACTGAGTGCAGGTGAAACGATTCTTGTCTCTCCTCTTTAAAATACCATCAGTCTGTAAATGACTTTGGTCCTCAATTTTGACATGATGTTCCTCCTCTTTACTCCACTCATACTCTTCAATTAGGTCTGAAATTAAAAAAAAATCATTAGTTTTTATTGAGTCTTAAAAACTGTCATTGAAAGCTGAAAAGTGAGAAGACACTGGGAACATTGGATACACACACTAATTTTGATGCACATTAAATGTAAAATAAATCAGATATTTTGTTTGGTCCATTAACTTGTACACATTTAAGTAGATTCCATTAAATTAATTTTTATTTATCTAGTGCTTTTACAATGAAAATTGTGTCAAAGCCGCTTAACATAGAACTCTGCTGACGTGTTTCCGGTAGAATATCAGTCAGGCTGTTTACTTACGCATAGCGAAATCTGATAGTGTTGATTTCATTCTACAGCGAAATCTAATAGCAGAGAAACCTAAACGCATCAGAGCATTGCAAAGAAGGGAGATTTACTCTTAAACTGGTGAGGCCATGTGCCAGTGGATGTCCAGCATCTGGAACATCATTACTATTAAGTTCCAGAAGCCACGGTAGTTGATTTATACACCATATTAGGCTGACAATCTCTGTGAAGAGGTGGAGTGACTGAAAGGAGACTGCTGTGATGCTGCTTTTGGTGATAATATAAGGTTCTAAAGGTACAGTTAAAAAATTATGTACAAGAATATAACCCAGATGAAAGAAGTAACAAGTTGTAATTGTATTTTATATTAAATAATATTACATTTAATATTATATAATATTACATTAACCATACTATAGTAAGTTTTATTATACTGTATATACTGTATACATGCACACACACACACACACACACACACACACACACACACACACCAAACATTCTAGTGTCATGTAAGAGGCAAATACCAAACTAAAACAAATGTGTTAAGCACAAATACTTACATTTACAACCTAATGCATTTCTATCTAATTTATACATCTACATCCTACAACATACAGAGTAATGTGTCCAGAGTAAATGCGACTGTGAGGGAGATGCCATCCATCACAAGGCTTAGGGTCTACACTGAGCATCTCATCTGCCGGGTGAAGCAACAAGCTGGACAGTCATCATCTCTTTCTATTACAGCAAGCATCAACCTGATTTACACAATGGCTTGCCTTCTGCCCATCAGTAATATTTTGGGATTTTCTGCCTGGATTTTGCCTACCCAAATTTAAAAGCTTGCCAAATCCACATGCAGAAGTGTAAATGAAAAAAATTGGCATAACTTTAAAGGGTCACGAAACACCAAAACACATTTTTTGAGCTGTTGACAGTCATATATGTGTCCCACACTGCTAAAAACACTATTAGGACACCTATATTTCACTAAAAAGTGTAAATTGGTTGTTTTTGCGTTATTTCAAGCAAATTCGTACTTCCGGTTTGAAACTAATTTTTGAAGCTGCGTCACGGCCATGACATAATAGCGTTGTATTCCAGCGTGCAGACTGGGCGTCTGTGCCAGAGTGTGTCTTATTACGTCTTACAGTGTGTTGCATTAATGCATGAGTAAGGCTTGGTTCAAACCAATCAGCGCGCTCTATTGTGCAACTTTATTAATATTCATTACTGTCAGAGTGTAGACGGCAGAGACGCCACGTTATATTGGCAAAACAAGCGTGAAGTGTTGCTTTAATAGTTTGCTGCAGTAAAGTTTTGTTTTCATTTTCTCTCTGTGAGAGCGCAGCTGGCGTCACGTGTGGATTAACAGTGTACGTGACGCGCGACAACAATAACTTACGTGTCTAAGGAGGAACATTGTTTACCTGAGAGCTGTTCTCATCTGCAAACGCTGAGATCTGGATTCGCTTGTAGTCTTCTCTTCATAAAGACGCGGCTCTAGTTGCTGTGGATTGTCCTGTCTACAGATTTGGTAAGTGAGCGACCAGTGCTCTTTGTTTATTCAGTTCGTATTTTATTCGTATCAAACAAACTATTGCACCGAGTGTAAACAAGTTAGCACTAACAGTTACAATTAAACTATAACCTCATGTTGAATTTTGTGACCGGAATAACATACACGGCTTTCTGACACTACCTGCCGTGTGCATCTAAGTTTCCGGGAAATGCTGAGTTTTTTTTTTTCTCTCATTCGCCGTGCGGTATCAAACATTGCATGAAAAATACACACTTAGAGCAGTTCCTTGAATCAAATATCATGTTTGTCGCGAGGGGCATGAATGAATTCCCTGAATGAAAGAGCCAAACTGCAGTTAAAGTCCACCATTTAATAATTTGGCAAATAATTCGACTACAGATTTTTATCTATTTTTATCGACTACAGATAAAAATAGAGGCGCTTTTGTATTTATTTATTTTTTATTAATTCAAATTTTAAAGTGTACCTTTTAGGTTCTGTGTGGTCTAGCGTGTTGTAATTAATTTTGGTGGTTCCTGCACATGTCTGTAATCATAGTAAAAAAGAAAAATGTCTCTACCATTATCTATGCAAAAGTTATTGTATTGTATCTCAACAACTGTTGAGAGGTGCTGTACAAGCCACAGGGATCGATCATTGTTTACATATTTCATTATTCTTTTGTTTGATCAAACATAATTTACTATGTTTGGACCACATCAGACATATAAAAGGATTACTTATGCACATCACCTCAAAAACAGAGGGGAATGGCCCTGAAGAACACAGCATAAGGTAAGAGATGACAGCTGTCTGTGCTATCTGGGGCTGCTTATTGATCATGAATGTATTGTTTACATTTCTGCGCTATGGAAACACCATGGTTCATCCGGCAACTGTTTGATATGGGAATATAATTCACTTTCATTTGAGCTATAACTTGTACATGTGTCATTTGAAAAATATGAAAATGGGCTGTGGGGTCCCCGGTCCCCTTATTATGGTGGGCACATCCCTTATTATGGTGGGCACATCCCTTATTTTCACATCCCAATGTTGACAGGTATACCCTACATAGTAAAGCTGAACTGTAGTAGGTATTGTTGTTCCAAAGACATCTACTTTAGTTCCTAGTTTATAGGTCTTACTGTTCCCCTAAGACCTCTCAATACTAAAAAATTTGTTCTGAAAGAATCTCCATCTGTACCTATCCAATAGAGTGAAGGAACTATGACATCAATTTGTATGCAAAAACCCGGAAGCGAGTTAGCATTTTAGCACTTCCGGTTCCCTCGTCCCAAAGTCAATGGGTTTTTTGTATGGGGTTTCAGTAAAATCGCTAAAATAAGGTCCGTGGCTAACACAAACTCACTATACTTTCACGTTTTATTCTATGACATAAAACACATCCGTTACAGCACACTCGTGAATTTTTAAATCGCTTATGCTTCTTCAAAAGGACGGTTGCTATCAAAGTGCTAAATGAGACTACAGGTGGTGTCGAGGACATTATACGTCATTGAAATGATCAGGGGCCTCATGTACGAAGACTTGCGTGGAAATCTTACTAAAACATTGCGTAAGCTGTAAATGTGCGTACGCAGAAAAAAATTCAGATGTATGAAACACTGCGAACGCCGAATCCCACGCATATTCTTTTGTACATCCGAATGAACGTGAAACTGAGCGCAACATGCACGAGCACAAAACCCCTCCCTGCCTCCTCCCTCGTATGAATATGCTAATGACTATGCTAATGGAAAACCCAACGAAAAAGTAATGGCAAAGCAAGCAAAAAGAGAAACTTTGAACAGAATGTAAATTGGAGGTGCTGCTTTCGGAGGTATACCAGAGAAAAGCGGTGTTATTTGCAAGTTTGTTCTCTGGAATTAACAACAAAAGAAAAAAAATAGAGTGGGAGAGTTTAGCTGATGCGGTCAACACAGTTGGGTCTGAACATCGCACTGAGTGCATTAAAAAAAAGAAATAGTGTGGTTTATATCTGTAAAATGTTGCAGCGACCTTAACAGTCTCAGTGGCGCAATTCGTAAGACGCATGTGATCATGTATTGACACGTTCGAGCATGAACTCGGCTCGAATCCAGTGTCTGAAGTACTCTTTCTTCTTTTTTCCCCCGCTACATATCAGATTTTGCCAACTATTTATCACGAGAAAGACAAGCAGGAATCATCAATAGGTTCATATCAATAAGCATCATATTTTATTAGCAGATTTATTGAATGGAAATGTTACTGATTCACGCATGCAAATTCATCTTCAGATAGTTCCTTTATAGCAATGTGCGTGCAGTAGATAGCTTAGATTACATTGGGAAAACAGGCGACTGCTGCAAATTGTGCTTTAATGTTTAGCTGGTCAACTGTATGGTATGGAAACCTTACATACCTACTAGATGAACCCGTCTCATACAGCTGCCATTGCAAGGCTCAGACACTTTGTAGAGAAGAATTTAACACAACTGCCTCTAGGAGTCGCCAATGGAAATAAAACAGACACGCACAAAAAATGTGCGAACGCCAGCCAGAAAGCTGCCGTGAAGCTGCGCACATTCCCACGTTCAGTTCATCATTAGTAAATCCAAACGTGAGCGATTCTGAGAGTGAAACCTGGTGTACGCAAAGTTTTTGTTTGTACGCAGCGTTGATACATGAGGCCCCTGGTCTGTAGCGCAGCTCGCTTCTGTTGGGCATTTGGATTTGTCTGTTATTTAGGTATTTTCATGAATAGTATTTTATAGTTTGTAGTATTTTTCTAATTGGGAATTCAGATTGTGTGTAGATAATTCCTTCACTTGTAAAGACTGTCGAGACAGATTCATTTGTTGATCATTTATTTTAATTAAACGATACTCACCAGTTCAGCCTGCCTTTTTCCTGCTCTCAGTAATGCAAACGTGTAAATAAATGTGTAAAAATACATGCATTTTAACTGTCATTTTTAGGAAATCAAGTGATTTTTCGTCTTTTTTTCTTTATCTAAACAAGTTTAACTCTGTCATAACTGCAATATTTACACTCATCTGTAAA